GTTCCTTTGGCTATAAAACAAGAAATAGTGACATCTATTGACATATTGATAGAAGCTACAGACATTTAGCATTGTTGTAATACGAAACCTCACCTAAAGATGTCGTTCGCGTTTTAGTTATAGGTATAAAGTGTGAAATTTGAATGAAAGTGGAACGTGTTTGAATTTAAAAATATTAAACGAACTGTAACGAAGTGTATATTTTGCAGAGGCAAGTTTTTTTCTTTACATTACAATAGTAAACGTAACTCATATACATCAGTAAATCATATTTTTATGCATGTTCCACATACGGTACGTTGTTTTTTTTTATTGCTTAGATCGTTGGACGAGCTCAAAGCCCACCTGGTGTTAAGTGGTTACTGGAGCCCATAGACGTCTACAACGTAAATGCGCCACCCACCTTGAGATATAAGTTCTAAGTTCTCAGTATAGTTACAACGACTAGCCCACCCTTAAAACCGAAACGCATTACTGCTTCACGGTAGAAATAGGCAGGGTGGTGGTACCTACTCGTGCGGACTCACAAGAGGTCCTACCACCAGTAATTACGCAAATTATAATTTTGCAGGTTTGATTTTTATTACACGATGTTATTCCTTCACCGTGGAAGTCAATCGTGAACATTTGTTGAGTACGTATTTAATTAGAAAAATTTGTACCCGTCTGCGAGATTCGAACACCGGTGCATCGCTCCACACGAATGCACTGGATGACTTATCCTTTAGGCCACGACGACTGCTGAGCTTTAGTGTCTGTTTTCACTTATACATACTTATAATAACTTTTCTTATGAATTCTTTGATTTTTTTGCATATAATGTCGCGAAGAAGATTGCGTGATGAAGATATTGAAGATTTCTTGAATATTCCTTCTGGGAGTGAAGATGGTCAAGATTTTTCTGATGCTGAAAGTGATGATGACATCGAAAGGATTCAGTCCATCCAATTTTTTTTATCAGAAATACCCAACGATGTGGAAACTTCTTCTCTCCGTGCAGAGATATCAGTGTTAGTCTCCCGTCAACGAGGTTGTTACGAAATATTGAAAATCGTCAGCTAGAAATATCAAAGCCTAGTACATCAGAAATGACTTCAGGGACAACTATAGGTACCATTACACAATCTCGGGTGCCTAGACGATCATCGACTATGAGTAACACATTCGGTCATGGATCTAGAATCCCTCGCGCTGTAACTGTCACTCAAAGAATAAAAAAGAAGATTTATTTGGAAGAAAACATATTTTCAATCACCTTCTTTTTCATTTACTGGAAACACAAATTTCCAGTCACCGATTATAGACTTGTGAACTTCACTATTTTTTATGGTTTTTTGATGATGAGTTACTTAAGCATATTGTAGAAGAAAGGCACAATTTAGTGTCCAAAACATTCTTCAAAGCCATTTACAATAACAACTAATGAATTGAAAAAGTTTATAGGTGTCTGATTGTGAGTTTGGCACTGCCAAAATGCAGCTGAATTGGGTATTCCTTTGATTATGCAGAAAATGTCGCTAAGTTATTTCACAAAGATATGTCAATTTGTACATTTCAACGATATCTCCATGCAACCATCATCAGGGAGTCCAGGGTATGATCGTTTGCATAAATTAGGCCAATATTGGAAACATTGAGAAGAAAATGCCAAAGCGGGCCTAAAAGAGAAGCGCTATTTGTCGACGAGCAAATGTGCGCGACAAAAGCGTCTAATCTTCTTTGACAGTAACTGCCTAATAAGTCACAAGAACGAGGCTATAAGTTGCTAGTTCTTTGCGATGATCATAGCTTTGCTTACAATTTTGAAATATACTCTGGAATGGAGAACAATCATAATCTAAGATATAAATGTGAGCCCAACTTAGGAGCATGTTCAAATATCGTAGTACGCTTAGCTCTAGGTCCATACCAAATAATCAATATTACAAATTATTTTTTGATAATTATTATACGTCACCAGAGATGATTGCTTATTTGGCCAAAGAGGGAACACAGTCTCTGAGAACGGTCAATAAAGGTCGTTTAGGAAAAGACCTCAAAATACCTTCTGTAAGTGAACTTAAAATGGATATGGTTCAGAGAGGCTATTCCCAGCAATGGGTGGCAAATTGTGATGATACGGTCATTGTCACCGTCATGTGGTACGATAATAACCCTTCTTTTTATCATCGTCATTTGTGGGCCAAAAGCCCCTAGAAACAACGAGAAGATACTGCAAAAAATAGAAAAAATATATACAAGTGGACTGTCCCCAAATAACCAAAACATATAACCAGCATATGGGTGGTGTGGACCTCTTAGTTTCGTTCCTAGGGAAATATAAAATAAAAATTAAGACTAGAAAATGGTGCTTGAGGCTATTTTATCATCTTCTTGATGTAACGCTTATCAATTGCTGGTCATTGTACAGAAGAATTGGAGAGCAGCAGCATACACCAACCCCAATGAAACAGAAGAACTTCAAACGGCCGTCTTGTGTAGTGGTAAGTGATATGGTCACTACAAAAGGGGGTCGCGGGTTCGAATCCCGCCAAGGGAAGATATTTGTATGATAAATATGTGTATAATAAAAATCTTACATTTATTTCCGTTATCTGGTACCTGTAACACAAGTTCTTTACGAACTTACCACAGGACCTGTTACCGTGGCGTGATTGTTAGTAAATATTTATTTATTTATTTAAGTTTGCAGTTGGGAAAAGTTTATGCATATGTGGGCTATCAATAAACAAAAAGAGTGGTAGACCGAGTTTATCTGGTGAAGTTGAAAATAAAAGACAGAAGCCAGATACATCAATTCTACCTCCTCGTGATGTCAGGCGCGATGGATTTGAGCATTTTCCTGTTTGGGGTCAAAAAAGACAACGATGCAAATATCCTGGCTGCAAGGGAAAAACATTCATATCTTGCGACAAATGTCGCGTAGAACTTTGCCTCAATAAATGTAATAATTGTTTTAGATCTTTTCATCAATAAACAATTTTATATTAGTTATGAGTATGATTTTGCAATATATAAAAAAGTAAAATATAAGTATAGGTAATAGTCATTTACAATTACATTACAATTGAAAAAAAAGTACATAGGAAATTTCCAAAATAATTCAATTGTACTAGTTTAAAACCTAAAAGCATAGTTATGACTCGGTGGATGCATAGTTAAGACCCTTAAGTGGATGTGGAAAGTTGATTTTTTCGTAAAATATGGTTTTATTTTTATAAGTTTTCCCTATCTTCTGATCACTAAATACAATATTTTTTTCAGGCACAAACAAAAATTGAGCCGTGTATTGATTGTTGATTTTTGTTTTAATTATAGAGGGTAGAGGTAAAGAGCACACTTTCTGAGTTTATCAGTTACACAGCCGTTGAAGACTACCAACTTAGGTGGCGCCACTGTAGCAAATGGTGTAATTTCAAAGATAGCGCCAAAAGGGATTTTATTGAATAATAGGTCCATAGGCTGTACAAAATGTCTTTCAAGAGTTTTCGTCTCACATAGACCTGACTTCTTCAAGAAGTGCATTTAAAAATTACCACTGCACTGGCCGAGAAGCATCGACACCACGGGGCATATTTTCATTGATAGAAATGAATAAATATTTATAAAAAATAATTATAACTTTCTTTAAACTAAACGGCGATTTCATAGGTAAAGACAATCAATTGTGACTGCTCCATTCATACAGCTTGTTACACTATTGCCATTTTGGTGGGTTGTTGTGTTGTAATTTGTTTTTTTTTACACTTTGTTAACTTGATAGAGTTGTCCTAACTCCTACCCTCCTTATTAGCGAGTATTTATATTGGAATCAGCGACGCCATCTTTCGAAGAAACAAAAATGCGAGACAATTTGCCAAGATTGTGTATTTTTAATCGGAAGCTGAGAGGGTAACATAAATGAATTGTTTTCTTTTGTCAATTTCTTTATTTTAGTTAGAAAATGAAACTATAGTATCACTTAGTAAAAATTAAACCCGCTAAAACATACATTGTGTAATTACTGAAACTGTGACATCACTGTAACTGGCGTTTTGTGAATCCGCATGGTGGTACCTACCCACCACCCTGCTTATTTATCGCGTGGAGCAATAATGCATTCCGGTTTAAAGGATGGGGCAGCTGTTGTACTATAAAACCGAGAGTTTATCAAGATACAAGAGTTCTAAAGTGGGTTGCATAATATTGTTAATATCTCTGGGCTTCCGTAACCACTTAACATTATGTGGGTTCTGAGCTCGTTCACCCGTCCGAGCAAAAAAGCATAGCCGTTAGTTCTACCGTTCTAGCCATATCTGACATGAAGCAGACAAGCTTCCAGTTTGAGGATTGGGACCGCCATCATTTTGATACGATGAAGACTTCCACTTCGGGTGGTCGGTGGCGACATTCACGTTGTGATGTCTATGGCTTCAAATCACCCTTTTAAACCATATAACATTTTTCTGTTTTCAGCAGTTACATAAATTAAGGGTCCAGTTGAGCAGGCTGCAGCATTAATTTACGAATCCTGATCATGCAGGAACCAGTCACCGTCGACGCCCTAGACACGTCCTTACGGATCCATCAGATCCAAATAATCTTTGCATTAGACGTTTTCAGCTCTAACACTAGGAGCAGGCTTAGGGACTCCAGTAAACGTACTCGTCGAACTCTACAAAGAGGTCGACGTGCAACCTAACCCATGCATCAGCCCGCTGAGAATTGCTTTTGAGTTGTTATTGTCTCCAAGGCGGACGCGCTCAGGCAGCTGTTAGCAAATCCCACACCTCTTGGCTGAGCCTTTGCTCGCCCACCTGTCTTAATGAAAGTGGAAAGGCCTGCGGGCCACCAGTAATCATTCAAACATAAAAGAAAAAAGCATTCATTTAACAACCATCAGCATTGTTTTGCACAAATAGTGAATCAGAAAAAAAAAGAAAAAGGATATTTTCTGCTCTATATGAGTATTTGAACTATTTGATTTGGTATTGTCAGATCTGATGGTTACAAAGAAAAAATAGCGGCAAAATTATATTACATTTCTTACAATACAACAATTGCATAGACTTGTTTACAAAATTCAACATAACAAACCAGTCTTATAAGCATTGATTCACAATTAGTCTGTGGTGATTCAGTCGCCTTTATACTGTGCTTCAAAGTCAGTTTCCGTCGTTCTTTCACTAATCACTATCACTACCACTTTGTGAAGGTTCATAGTCACCATCATCCTCATCGGTGAGTTCCAAATCATCCAGGTTCTGGAATAAAGACTCATCCACTTTTACTGCATCTCCTATAAAATAAAAATAAAAACCCGTTAAATATTAGTAGACTTTTAAAGGTGTTTTTTATTATTACATTTATAAAATATAACGATAGAATAGAGAGTCCATAAAAATTTTTAGTATATTATATGGTATAATGTATTACCATTTTATGGGTATTTGGAAGGTAAATTGACAAATGTATCATTACATAAATTCTACTAGTAAATAGTAAGCAAATGTCGAAATAATACAAAACAAAATTTCTCTTCTTAACAGTGATTTTATCGTCCCTTTTGAGGTAAATTTCTAATCTCAAATATTGCTTTTTAATTTTCATAACTTATCTATATATCTATAGAGGGCTAGCTATATAAAAGACTGCGATAAATTACTTCTGTGAGATTGATATCATGCCTTTTTACTTCAAAACCGAGTGGGTTTGTCCATTTAATGTGGCCATCCATTTTCTGAGAATTTGAGGGTTGTGTCAGACATAAAAGGAAGAACAATGCACCTGTTAAGAAATTTCCTTATAAACAGGTAAAAATGTTTTATTGGCAGTGAAAAGTTATGTACATTTTATTTATAATAACTTAGTAATTTTATTGTACTTCAAATTCCATATCATTACATCAAAATATTTGTAATCTTTCACATATATGTGTAGGTAAATTTTAGTGATAGATTATCTTTTCAGAAACTATAACAACTTTTCATCGCCAAGTTGACAAATTGTATTTAAATAAAAGTAGCATTTGGTAGACATACAATTTGAAAAGTATGTGGATGTGATCTTCTTCACCAAGGAGATTCAAGTTCTCGAAGAGCAAAGGATTTAATATAGCTGCCCCATATAAAAACTCAGTGTTTTTTTTATTAAATGCAACAAATTTAATAAGAGAACTCAATAATATTCAATGAGGCAGCCCTTAAAATTATTTTCCCTAATGTAGTGCATGGACTTTGCATGTATGTATAGCATGTGATTACACTGCATAAAAAGCATGTGATTTACTTACAAAAACCAAATTCAAATGAAAACAATTACTTTCACTAATTAGTTTTTACATAGCCACCTTGCATGTGACATTAAATGAAAACTACATAGATAGTGCATAAGGAAATCTTGTATTTACCATCATCCAAGAATTTGAGATCCGATTCATTGAGTGTTGTATCCTGAAGGAATAGTTCTCTTCCAGTCAGTTTGTTCTTATCTTTTGCTTCTCGTTCCCTCTTAGCTGGGATTCCCATGTCAATCTCAAACTGTTTCCTCCATGCCAAAAATGACTCTACTGTGACTCTAGTGCCTTCAAACCTTTTCTGTAATATGTTTAAAACCTTGATCATGCACACAGATATATGTTATTCACATGGCTTATTGCTGAAATAGCTAGATTGTTTTACCAATCTGTGTAGGCATATAGAGATCTTCATTTCTATATTTGCATGAACATAACAACATAAAATGTAACTAATTTATAGTAACCGGCAAACATCGTGAGCAAATGACCTTGACTGCGCAGAACCGAATTTTAGATCACTTTGGTGGTGAGGGTGAGGCGCGACGTCAGGGGAAATCGTATCGAGCGCGTTATTGGTAGATCAGTCGAACCTTGCGTACCGCACCGCGCCTTCGTTCCGCTTGCTCCCAAAAGTACGCTTGCGTACAGTGAAAAGTCTATCGTTACTAATCGTTAAGTTATATTTTGTTATAATTGCTTGTTGACTTTGTTGCCATTGCTATTTGTTGAGTGTTTGTTGTATTTTATAAAAAATACACTATGCCGCGACAAACTGGTGTAGTATTCAAAAGAAAGAGTAGAAAAATTGTGTACGACATATATTGCTTCATTATAAAACAGGGGAAGAATGATATTATGGAAAAAGTAAAACAGACTTCGGAAGCAACAAAAACATCAGTGAGTACTGTTAGGTGCATTATTAACGAAGCTAAAGGCTCTGACTTGCTCATCGTGCTTGGGACTCCGGGTAAGAAAAGATCAGGGAAGAAGAAAGTTACCGGAATGGATAGTTTCGTTCAATCTGTAATAAAAAGATGTAATCATAATAACTACATAACAAGCAGCGAAACTCCGTACCGTAGAAAGGCTTCGAAAATTTTAAAGAAGATATACATTTTAATGGCTCGGAATGAAGTTTACGACGAATTATGAAAGAGCTAGGCTTCAGATGGAAAAAAAAAAAAAAAAATAATCGGAAGCTGGTAATTGAAAAAAGTAACATTCGATTACTACGAATCGAATATCTTCAAAAAATAATTAATTATAGACAAAAAAGAAGATCGAACCGACCGAGTCGTAAACTACACCGATGAGCCCTATGTCGACTTATCACGATGATGGCGACTCGGGTGATGAAAACAGTGATGATGATAATGGTCAAGATTATGATAACGAAAAAAAATTACAAATACCAGCTTCGCTTCAACTGAACGAAGACCTGGCAACAGCTCTAGTTTTGACTTAATAGAAGGAATATCTATTTTACCCCAAAATTAAATTATTATAATTATTAACCTATATTTTTTGTTGATGTTCTAATAAATATATAAATAAATACATATGTTGATTTTAATAATTTAATTGCATTATGATGCAGAGTAAATAAGGTTTTTGCACGTGAGTGTACCATGCGCAAACTTACCCCCACTACGTCAACAAATGCTCAAGAAGTTTGCCGGCTATTATAACAAATCACAATGACAATTCTTTGGAAGCAGTTTTAATAAATACATATCAGAGTGAATATTTTAAGAATTTTTTTTTTCATCCCTAAGTTGTATGATAGAGAATAATAATTATGGGTGACTTCTAGTGAGTTTTATTCCAATTTTTTACATATTATTGTCTAAGAGCTTTTAGAATCTTATTTCTGAATTTTATATACAACTAGTGATCCGCCCTCGCTTCGCTTCGGAAACTGTAATTTATTATTTATATCTCCACTATTTAATGGATGTTATTATACATATAAACCTTCCTCTTCAATCACTCTATCTATTAAAAAAAAACGCATCAAAATCCATTGCGTAGTTTTAAAGATTTAAGCATACATAGGGACAGACAGATATAGGGACAGAGAAAGCGACTTTGTTTTATACTATGTAGTGATACCAAACTGATATGGGTATGATAAGACTTAATAATAATAAAACATTTATTTCAGAAAAAATCCATAAAATAATAATAATTAATGAATAAGAATTAATATTCCAATAGCTAGCCAATGAACCTTAAAAATGATAAATATTAAGTTACCAGTTCTGCCTCTTCATCTGCCTTTTGTTTGGCTAGTATCCTTTCTTCACGCTCTTTCTTAACTTTATCCCAAGTCTCATTAAGCCACTCTTGTCCAGCTGACACTAATGTGAATACCATGACCATTCCCAAGTTTTCTTTACCCTGAAACACATTAATGGAAAACAAGGAAATAAGCCATAAATAATCAAGCTTAGACGTTCTAAAGTAAACGACAGAAATTAAAAGGTCTAAGATGAATCTAGTGGTTTTGTTTTTTTCAATTTTTTTTTATTCAATATTATTATGATTTTAGTGCCTAAAAGCAATTTCATTTCTTTTGATTTCTGTTGTTTGTGAGCTCTTATTCAGTATGTATTTCTGTGGTTAAATTTATATCTGCCTGCAGAATTTGAGTTCTAGTATAGTCAGACTGCTTATACATTCTTATCCTTAATGACACAACAACAATAATATAGTAAAATAAATTTTATTAATATTTTTGCTTCTTGATTTTTTCAGTCATTATCTATCTAAATTTAAGGTCCAAGATTCGATTTACCACAAATTGAATTTATTATGCACATATAAACTTGTAATAAAAGGACTTTTTTTTTACTTTTCACTTTAATTTTCAAAATGTTATCAATTCCATTTACATAAAACAAAACATATATGTCATTACTAAAAATTAAATGAAAGATTTTACAGTATCAGTAGAGCTGGGGATTTTCCTAAATCGAGATCAATTCAAACAAAAATTCATATTTTCAATCCAATATCAATTATTTGAAATTGTGTTAAAACAGATTAACAATTATTCACAATTATTGTACCATTTACACAGTACTACAATATTACTATATTACTATCAAAACCATGTTTTACAAGTACTGCTTCCTGTACAAGTAATAACTATGGGCAACTGGTTGAAAGCATGCCGCTGGTTCTGTAATACTTAACATACTTTGATAATATGATTTTCGTCATAGTCGTCCATGAGCACTAAACATAAAAAATTTTGGAAATCATAAAATAATATATTTGAGATTAGAATTTTAATGTGATATACATTTTTATCAAGTCTCAAAAATTTAATACAGTAGGTAATCAATGTTAATCTGTTTGTCAAAAACTAAAAATGAAGACTTATTTATTAGATATTAAATAATAATGTATGTATGTACTTTATTATATGTAGACTTGACAAACATAAAATATCTAGGTTTTAAATCATGCACACCAACAAAAACTGATAATGTTCATTGTAAAATAACAATTCAATTAAATATATACAAATTATGTATATACTATCTTTACCTGTTCAGCAAGATGTGTGAGAAGTTCCTCTTTATCAACAATATTGTCGAAATTCTCCTCATTGTCAATTTCAATAATGGGTAATTCATCAGGATACTTTGATGTGTAAGTAAATACTAGATGGCAGGCCAACCCCTCTCCATCATCAAACCCCTCTGACTTTATAGGTATACTAAATTTGTGAAATGGTTTTGTTTCTATCACTACAAAATAAAATAACATGATCATTAATTAATAAAAGTGAAGCATGCATGATTAACTTTTTCCATAAAACTGTTTTAAATATGCATTGCTTTTAAATAAAAGAATCGGTACACAGTTTTGGACTTAAATCTTGCTTCTTTAATTTCAACAAATATAAACATAAAATTTTATTCCTTTTTTCAAATGATCTAACCTGCCATATCGCCGAAATAAATAGAATCTAATGCTTCCACTTCACTAGTTTGTTCGTAATTGTAATCCATGATTTAGGTCACAATTATTAATGAGTATGTATTTTTAATTTACAAATTTTTCACGTTTTTACTTCAAACAATTTTAAAGTTTACTTTACTCTTTAAATTGAGAATGGTTGAAAAGAAGACATAGAGTATATTAATGAAATAAAAGACATTTAAGAAGTCTTGCCACGTTTCGCTAATCTGTGTTTAATTTTTTCTACCTCACTTAAATTACTGAGACTATATTTCATTCCATATCATCTGATTTCCTTTCATTTCATCCCATTTGATTAATGTCTCGAATTGATCATCTTCATTTCATTTCATTTCACTCCATATTATCACTTTTCATAAAAATAAGAATATGTATATAAATTAAAATAAGACATGACTTAAAGGTCTTAGTTACCAGGTCATGAAATCCCTTAAAAAAATACCTCACCTATAATAATGAGATTATTTATTTCATCCCATATCATTTCATATCATCCCAGTTGATTAATGTCTCAAAGTAATCATCTTCATTTCATTTCCTTTCACTCCATATTATCACGTTTCAAATATGAATATAAAATAAGTCATGACATGGAGGTCTTAGTTACCAGGTCACAAAATCCTTTAAAAAAACCTTACCTATAGTTACCTTAGCTACCTCTTCCTCACCACCTCCCTATCGTCAGCATAATAACAGAAACACAGACAATACACACTAACCCTGTTTTCCAATTATAGCACTAGAGCGCATTATGCGGCATAATGCTCAACGTTGATTGTTCCAACTACAGCAACGCTTCCCACAATCGAGCACTCTCAAGCATAATTCGGCATTGTGCGCCACTGAGTCGCATTATGTCGCATTATGCTATGTAATTGGAAAACAGGGTAAATGATTTAAAATATGGTGGTTAGAACCTTCCATAAATTTTAAATATATCAAGTTCCATAACTTACAAAATAAGACACAGAACCTGCTTGTTTCAAGCAATGCGATTAATTCGTATTCAAATTTCACAGTTTCTTTACTACATAAACTTCTACCAAATAAAATAAAAGTTTATTAACGAATTCCTCAACCAATAATTATTTTATGTACCTACTGAAAATCTTTATCCGTTTTTATTGGCCTTACTGTGATGTCTAGTCTGGCGAATATTACGGTTTTACATAACAATAAAACCGATATTATGTGCCGAGAAGGAAAACATACAGCATTGTATTATGAAGAAGCAGTGTGTACTTAGCTTAAATTCCTTGTCTATGTCCAACCATTGACAGTCAATTTAGTTCCATCTTTAGCCGCTAGGTGCTGCCAGCAAGTATAAAGGAAGCGCAGCCATCTTTGATCTTCATAGTCTTCACCAGGAAGAACTTCCTGCAATGCTGTATGTTTTCCTTCTCGGCACATAATATCGGTTTTATTGTTATGTAAAACCGTAATATTGATGTGCCTTTGGAAAACATACAGCATTGTATTATGANACAAGGTAAATGTCGCGAAAAAAAAGTAATTATATATATACTTTTCTTTTACCTATAATACTTACATAAACTAACTGATAAACACATTAACCTTCTTTACATCACGCAATTAAGTGATAGTATAGGCTAAAAAATCTATTATAAGATATCAGTGACAACCCTAACAAGCCATCCCTATTTTGTCTTTTGGCGTTCCAATGTTATGTTTTCTCGTCCCTAATTTATCCAGTCTCGTTCCAAATTACCCTACATACGTCCCAATTTTCCCCAAAAAGAAAGGAAAAAATATACATTTTTTATTTTGTCGAAATATTGTATTTAAAATATGAATATTGCAACTTACCGTTTGTTGTGGTATTTCCAGATGTATTAAAAACTTATATAAACTGTGATCTTATTGAAAAAACAACGATAATATTACTTTTTTTAAAAGTTCTTTAAGCTGTTTTAAAACGCACTTTTCAACCACTATTTTAAATTTAATTTGACGAATTTTTGGGACCAACTTAATTCATGTTTAGTACTTCCGTAGTTAACTTGGTTTTTCTTCTATACATTGATAAATATTACCTTAAAGAAAATTAGGTAGATTCCGTGCTACAAGTACTTTGAGAATCTTCCGCAGGTTTGTCCCAATTTACCCCAGAATCCCAATTTACCCCATGTCATGGTATGTATGTACATTTGTTTTTAAATGTATTTTATATCGCGGACAAGTGGCTTATCTATGATAATAAAAACCTGCTCTTATTTGGACATTTAATGTAAATTTCTAACAAAAAATCTTCAAATAGATATGTATAGAATTTTTCAATAATTCGAACATAAAACTTAGTACCTATTGGGTTTAAACCGGAACTACAGCTTTGAGTGGTTACGCCAATAAAGTAAGTACAAGGCTCAGCATCATTTTTAAAAGGTTTGTGTGAAATAAAGGACGGTATGATATCCAATGAAATAAAACTAGTCTTAAAACTCATGTTTATGCAATTTATTCCCCAATGTACCTGAAACTCGACTTCTAATAAAATGCCAGTGGAATACAACTCTACAGAATTCTTGAATTTACAAAATTGATTGTGACTACAGTATTTCTTAGTAGAACTGACCAAAACAGGCATTCAGTCTGCCAAAGTATAGTAGTGTAGTTGATATAAAAAACATATATATTACGTTTCATTTTTATATTATTCCTATACTTAACAGTACTTTTCTATGAGGGGGCTCCTATATTGCTTCAGGAATCAGTGGTATAAAAATATTGTCAAATATAGAGTAGACTTAAACTACCTACCAGTAGACTTGAGACAATTAACAAGATAATTATCATCAATACACAATACAGCTTGAGTGTCTTCTATTTATATTCATCAATAGTATTATAATTTATTTAGTTTATTATAAATTATTTTATATTTATTGAAGTTTTTCAATGTTCCTATAGAGATTTGCAAAATCTAAACTAGCCAAGAAAGGTTGATGTTTGACAGTATTTTATTGGACTGTACTGACTCCACTGTAGCAACAATCACACGTAAAACTCATTAATTTGTCTTGGATTAGGAGACAATACACAAAGTGAATTGGAAGGCAATAGGTGTAGGAATTTAGATTAAGCTGCAAAGTTGGAGACAATGAGTCTAAAAGATACTGAGCTAGAAACTCAGAGCTGTATTACAGAAACTACTTCTAAGCACCACAGGCCATTTATAAAAATAAAATTGACCTATATCATAACGCCGAAAAGCTACTTATTATGGTGCATGATAGATTTTCTATTTACAGTATTATAATACATACATTTCAAATAATGGAAAGTCCTGAGACAGTATCTTCTAGTAACTCACATGGAGCATCAGACAGTGATTCAAGGTGAGCATCTAATATTGATTTATGGCTAGATATTTTGTAAAGAAAAACCTTTATTATATAAAACTCTAGTTTTAAAAAAGAATTTTCTTCAGTATTATTCAGTGTCATAGAATAAAGTTTGTCATTCAGTAAAAAGAAAGCTCAGTTTTGTATAGTTTATTAATACTGTTTAATTTATAATATTAATTTTAAGAGATTAAGGGCTTTAAATGTTGTTTTCTTATTATATCTGTTGGAGTTTGTATATTAAATGTAATGGCAGGCAACACTTGACACTTGATTAGATTTCGAATATTGGAATTATTTTAAATGTTTTAAAAAACAGATCATTGTATTCTCATAAGAAAATGTCAGTGACTTCTCATCTAGACACGGCAAGACAAACATGTAATAGTTTTATTAAAAAATATAAAGATATTGTATAATGGTGTAAAAGTGCTCAAGCAATCTGGAATATAATTATAATGAAGCAGTTGTGTTTTTAAATAGCCCCTCATCACCTACAGAACCCAATCCTTCAAATGTAACCATCCAACAGGTTATGGGCCCAGAACAAATTTAAAAGGTAATATTTATTATATTTTGCTGTTTAAAAGACGACAATATAACCGTGGAAACCAAACTGTTTATATACGAATATTCATAGCAACCAAACATGGATTCAATAAAGATAAAACCTTTCACAAATAAGGAAAATTATAAAGCTTGGAGAATGCTAATTAAATTATTGCTGGATACAAAGGGTATAAAAATAGATGGTAAAAATGAGGAAAAATTGGAAAATAAGGGGAAATTTATAATATTTAGTTATATTGAAGAAAAATATTTACATTATGTAATTAATTTGGAAACAATTATAGAAATTTTTGAAAAATTAGATTTTATGTATGATTATAATATACAAGGACAAGATATAAAACACGTAATGAATTTTTTCGAGATGCAATATTCAGGAAACATATTAGAAGATATAAATAAATTACAAAACATACAGTTTGAAATCACTAGTATAGAGAACAAAATTTCAGAACAAACATTTATGCACAAAATTTTAAATTTATTACCGGAAAAATTTTATACTTTCAAATCAATTTGGAACAATATAGACGTAGAAAAGAAAAATTTAGCAGAATTAACCCGAAGAATTAAAAATGAATTGGAATTCATCAAAGAAGACTCTATCATAGAAGCCCGAGAAATTTTAAAAGGAAACGAAAAGAGATGTTTCATCTGCAACAAACCAGGGCACATCGCAAGATTCTGTAAAAATAAAAAATGCGACCTCTGCGGCAAGTCGGGACATAGTACGGATGAGTGCTATAGAAACAAAATATGTACCAGGTGTAGTAAGAAAGGGCATATAAAGCAATTTTGTAGAACATATAATTCGGTAAGTGGTAATTCAAAATTTTTTAAAATAAATGCTATATTTGATTCTGGAGCATCATCACATATGTTTTCAAGTAAAGAATTCATAAATTTTACAGAAGACATAGAAGTAGAAATTAAATGCGCAAATAAAGAAAATTTAGTTGCAACAGCGGTCGGATATATTAATACAGATTTCGGGAAATTCGAGAATGTTCTTTATGTACCAGGAATATCTAGAAACCTAATTTCAGTGAGCTGTTTAACAGACAATGGAGCCACCGCAATTTTCGAAAATGATAAAGTTACTATTAAAAAATTAGGAAAGGTTATTTTAACCGGAATTAAAAATAAAATTGGCTTATATGAAGTTCAGATAAGAGTTCAGTTTAAGAAAGNTCGCGTCTCGCCTGGACGTTTTCCCTCTCGGAAATTATGGAGCTTGACTCAACATCACCTCCAACAGATGACGCGTGATTCATGGCGTCCGATGATAGGATTGGTAAATAATACTCGTAATGATTGCAAAATAACACTCATAGAAACACAAAATAAATATTTTTTGCAATTAATAAGAAGTCGAATAAATATTTGTGGATTTGCGACTTCACAGTACGAAAGTACACAACGCTATGGAGATCAAAGATGGCTGCGCTTCCTTTATACTTGCTGGCAGCACCTAGCGGCTAAAGATGGAACTAAATCGACTGTCAATGGTTGGACATAGACAAGGAATTTAAGCTAAGTACACACTGCTTCTTCATAATACAATGCTGTATGTTTTCCAAAGGCACATCAATGTAAGTTTCGTCACAATCATAACTTATTTTGTGACCATCCCATCAAATGACACACGTAAAAACAACTTGTGAGCGTATAATTTAGAGATGAGTCAAAACTAAAGTATTTAGATATTTAAAAGTTAGATAATCGTATCAGCTATTTATGTTTAAGAATAACTAACATAAACCAAGGATTTTTGGTGTAAATCTCGAATGAATTTTTTTTTTTTTATATAACAGAATATGTGTTTGTTTTTGTTAATTGAAAATTTATTTAAATAAACATTGTCAAAATAATCTCGCAAGAAGCCGATTGCTACACTGAAAAAAGGAAAAATAATATTTTAAACTAAAAAGTCGAGCTACCACTAACCGTAAACAAACTTGAATTTCAAAAAACAATTTGTTTTTCAAATCATGTTTCAAAAAATCTTACTTTATTTTTAATTGGATTCTGTTTAATGTGTACCGTACAATGGGGTAAATAGGGACAAAATCGACCTTCAGATTGAATTTTAAAATAGTTCCAATTAAATAGTCACTGCTCAACCAAAGAAATTAGTTGAGTCTTGAACGTACCTAGGTGATAAAAACCGTTACATTATTTTAATTATTCATTTTAAAGAAATAATCGGTAAAATAATGGCCGTCCCAATTTACCCAGCGTCCGGGGTAAATTGACACGGTTAAGGGTTAAATTGGGATATTTGTAAGGGTTGTCAACTCGCAGTACTGCGATATATAGGTAGGTGCCATATAATTATTTATATGGACCGAAATGATGAATACAATCCATAATTTAAGCACAATACACAACATAGTGTAAATTAAGCTGGTTTCTATTCCGAAGCGATGTGACGTGAATGATAATCAACAATACAATGATCAAAAAAAGTATGTGCATGTTATATTTTAGAAAATTATTATTTAATTTCCTTAAAAATCACAACTCTGAAACAAAATGATAAAATAGAATAAAAAATAGAAAACAAAAGGACTGGAAATGCAATAATACAATTTTATTTAATCAACATTTTCAAAATAATCTTTGAGCAAGAGTAAGATATCAGGTGAATAAGATAAAAAAACAGCTTTATCTGATTACTGCCAATAATAACAAAAATAAAAGAAATTCTTTCTAAGNTAAAGAGGTTGAGAAGGCGTTAAAAGTTTTAAATAAACTTGAAGAGTTTATGTAGGAAGTCGAGAAGGAGTTAGACTATTATAGTTAAGGTTTTATATAGTGAGTCAAGAGGGAAGTTAAGGTTGAATGGTTGTATGGTTGAATGAAAGTACATTTTTGATCGAATTGGAGTTGGAGAAGTAAGAAAGGATTAAAGGTAGCGACATTAAAGATAGTATTAAGTTTGAAAGGTTGAATGAATAGTTGTTGGTTGAATTGAGAGGGATTATGTAGAAGTGACGGAATGTAAGTGGTTGTGAGGTTTTTTAGGTATGTATGGAAAGAATTAATTTATGAAGGTCAGGTTAGCGTTATTCTTTTTTGGTACTAAGTTATAGACGGAGAAAAATGTGTGCAAGTGTTGAGGGGGTGTGTTGGAGTTTGTATATTAAATGTAATGGCAGGCAACACTTGACACTTGATTAGATTTCGAATATTGGAATTATTTTAAATGTTTTAAAAAACAGATCATTGTATTCTCATAAGAAAATGTCAGTGACTTCTCATCTAGACACGGCAAGACAAACATGTAATAGTTTTATTAAAAAATATAAAGATATTGTATAATGGTGTAAAAGTGCTCAAGCAATCTGGAATATAATTATAATGAAGCAGTTGTGTTTTTAAATAGCCCCTCATCACCTACAGAACCCAATCCTTCAAATGTAACCATCCAACAATATCACAGAAGTTTTTACTGGTGGTAGGACCTCTTCAGTCCACATGGGTAGGTACCACCACCCTGCCTATTTCTGCTGTGAACCAGTAATGCGTTTTGGTTTGAAGGGTGGGGCAGCTGTTGTAACAATACTGAGACCTTAGAACTCATATCTCAAGGTGGGTGGCGGCATTTGTGTTGTAGATATCTATGGGCTCAGGTTGCCACTTAACATCTGTTGGGCTGTGAGCTCGTCCACCCATCCAACCAATAAAAAAAACAAGTCTATGATTGTTTATTCATTCTGAAATACTCTATATCATTATATATATATATATATATATATATATTTTGTATTGCTTACTTGGGTGGACAAGCTCACAGCCCACCTGGTGTTAAATGGTTACTGGAGCCCATAGACATCTACGACGTAAATGCGCCACCCACCTTGAGATATAGTTCTAAGGTCTCAGTATAGTTACAACGTCTGCCCCACCCTTCAAACCGAAACACATTACTGCTTCACAAATAGGCAGGGTGGTGGTACCTACCCGTGTGGACTCACAAGAGGTCATACCACCAGTAATGCAATGTGTAATGCAATTATACAGCTTCTTTTTCTTATTAGACAATATGAAGATACGTCTGTCCTCGAGAATGAAGATGTTAAGGAAATACAAGAACAAGTTCTTGCAAATCTAGAGAAGCCTAATCTGCCAAATGTAAATGTACCAGAGAAAATAATTGTCTGCTTAGATGTTTGCTATGACAATCCAAATTCTCTATACCGTTTTGGTGATGGCACAACATTTTCTCCAATCAATATGTTGAAACGAATACTTGATTTCTTTTTTCATACAAAACATGCAATCAGCAAGAAAACTGAATTTGCATTGATAACACTTCAAGATGCAGGTGCATGTTGGACCCAGAATTTTACAAGCAATGTTAAAGATTTAATCAGTGCTATTGATTATGCACATGCTGAAGAAGCTACATCAGACACTTTTGATTTTGAAAAAGTATATGAACTAATAAGACATCATATAGAAATTCCTATGATGAAACCTGGAGAATCCTTACTGCCTCCTCCTTATATCGTCAGACTTCTGATTTTATATGGAAGATCTAATTGTGTTCCAGTAATTCCTCATGAAGACCCATGTTTCCAATATATAAGAAGTCAGATATATTTTTATACAGATATTCTGTTGGCACATGAAGATGATTGTGCTACGCATAAATGTGATGAAATATATGATGCATTACAGGATCTTGATAATGGCTATTCTTATGTGTTTGAGGTATCAAGAAATGCTACTAAAATACATGATTGTATTGCAAAATTGTTAGCACATCCACTACAGAGGCCCTTGCAAAAAAATACAGACTATTCTTTCGGTTCAAGATACTAGTATGTAAAATGTTAAAAACTATCCTCTTAAGTGTCTATTTGAAAAGGGTTATGAAAGTAAATGAAAATTTGTAAGGCTATTAATAAATATTTATTTTGATTTGTTAGACATTCTCTTTCTCTCATATTAAAAGATGATATTCCATAGGACTTTCAGATTTTAAATATACATACTTCATTTTAGAGTTGTCATTCTTCTCACTGCTCAATGCTTAGTCATGTTTTTTATAAACTGAAATGAAATTTAAAATACTGCTAGATGACTTAAAATGTAACTATACATTCGCACAGCCATCTTTACCTTACCAATAGATATTTTTTTATCATGTGTATACTATAAAGTTGAATATGCCACTACTGTGCTTTTAGATTATAAAGTTGTTAGTATTCAAAATGCAAGACATTTTAGATACAATTTTTGAGCAAAGTAAATTCTATAATGAGTAAATTCTTTTTTTTAATTTACAATTTTGGGGCACAATGTGTCTTACAATATGTCTATGTAATGTAAAAGAAATGCAGACTTAAATTATAAGCACAGAGAAAATGCTTTTATTAAAAAAGTAATATACTAACCACATTTTAAGAGTAAATAATACAAAGATAAACATAACATTTAAATAACTCGTAAAAATATTTATCTATTTACAATGATTAGTAACTGAAAGCAAAGTAGCCCTTTGGATTTATGTTCTATGATAAGTAATTCAAATTTATGTTATAATGGCCATTAAATGTAAATGTTAAATATCAATATTCTCAGTATCAATAAAAAGTTTTGTTTAAACATTTCCATAGGTACTATATTATTTGTTATTTGTCCAGACCTTTTCAGAAGTAAAAATGACACTCATCACCATAGATACTTTTGATAACATTTCATATAAAAATAAATAGCGAATTAATTCTATACTTTTCCTTTAATCATCAAAGCCCTTACGTAGTTTGCGTAATCAGTCAATCGTTATGATGATCTTCCACTCCAACATAAATATATAAATAAGCAAAAGTAGCTAAAAAAACATGAACACAAGCAAACCTCTCAAATACAATCGCTATTGATAAGTAACAAATATTTCTCAGAACCAGTCACATTATCTCATTCTACATGATAAAAAGTACTATAAATCACATTTGAGATCCTATGGATGTAACTATCGATGCCTATAATTTGACACTGGTTAATTTACGAACGAAATAAATAACTTCATGTTTCAGTCTCAACACTTTAAAAACTCTATTTACAAAAATGTAATAAAAATTTAGCTGTTGTCAAATAAAAATACCGATTTCAATATCACGGGTTACATTAAGCTAATGAGTCAACAGCTAAATCTGGCCACTTCTCTCACCATCAAGTACAATGAATAGTGATATAAATTATATGGAATGATAAATGATTTTCTTTTATAGCATCTTATCTAGCCAATTGTTTTGTGATTTCAAAAACATAATACTTAAAGCCTTTTAGTTGTTCAGCTCGACGAGCCGACGTAATAACCCACAAAATTGGCGAGTTCAGTTTAACTGGCATACTTGTCGTCGCCACGCGAAACTAATAAAACTATATATACCAACCACTACTTCACTATAATACAATGCTGATAAAAAGTTACAATTTACTTGTTTTTACTGTAGGCAATGAAGTTTTCACTGAAGTTCTCGTAATCGATTCCAACACACATACTCGTAGAGGACGAAACATAACGGCAATGCAGACAAATATTCAACATGTAGATAAATCGCAAGGAAGACAGGACTAGATGATTCGTTATTATAATTTATAAACCACTTTAAATATGAAACGTCCTTTATCGTTATTACTTCGCTCCGTTATTAGTCGCCTTCAGCCACCCAGAAAGTTTATACTTTGATATTATTATTTTTACACGCTAAGACCCACGCGTATTCGTAGTTCACTTTATTTAACATTATTATATTTTAGAATTCTGCTCGTGATTTCGTTACAATATGGATCTGCAAGGACTTAACAGTCAGAAACAGTTCATTTTGTATAGACATATGTTTTCCGATTTAAGGTTTTGAATACATATTTAACTACGACTGTATTTGACACTGGCACATCTTTAATATCACATATACTATGTCACCATCAGACGTAAGTCAACAGCGCAACAATCAACACTTGTAGGTGGGTAAACCGCTCACAGGATACCAGACACAGTGAAGTTATATGGGTCGCTTAGGGTGAAAGTATATAGCGCAAGATAGGCAATTGAAACTAATACGCTTCCCTAGGTCGCGTTAGATCTTGGAATCAGCGGTGGGCGGACAGAGTGGGCGGCTAGAGCGTGGCCGCGCAGGGTCAGAGCAGACAGGCGGCGAGCACGTGCATGGCGCGTCAGGGCGGCGGCGCACGTGCGGGCGGCGCGGGAGCCTCCTCGGCGCCGGGCGCGCCCGCACGTGCTCGCATCACGGACGCGTACGTACGGTATCTCTTTATCTAGAACAAAAAGACTATTAGTTTTAATGTATCAATCTATCAAATATTGTTCTTGAACATCTTAAATTTAAATTGTAAAATTATATTGGCAAGTTGTCACAGCCCTTCAATTTTATAACGTGGCCGTTTGTAAGGCTTTGGTTGCCGTTCATAAGAATGTAATAGATACAAATTTATTTAATTTTTTTTATTTCAGCTGTAGAATTTGAACCACACATATTACTTGATACGAATATATAGGGCGTTTTACCGATTAGACTCTTAGACGTTATTCAATTAATTTACCTCGTAAATTAGATAATGGTCTTTATCCCAAGTATGGGACGAGTTATCCCGCGCCTGTCTCTTGAGTTGAGCAAGTTCTTCCTCTAGTCGCGCGATACGGTCTTCGTGATCTCTTAGTTGATCGCGCTGCACACAGTAAATGTTAATTACAAAAAGCTCAGGAATACATTTTATCAAAACATTAATAAATGAAGTTTTATTTCCTCATATATTGCTAGATGTGGTCTCCCTAACTTGTATCAATGTTGTAGCTCTATATTGAGCAATTGGACAACTTTGTTTGTTAATGAAATGGTCTGAAAAAGTGTTAGACAATCTAAATCTTTTATTGTTTTAGACAGTGTAGGAGTAGGAATTGGCCTGCACAAGGGGGCTTCTGCGTTTGACATCGCCTATCGTTTTATCATGTATCATATTATAATATAACAAACTAATGCCATTATAATATGTATTATATAAGGATATCATTGGCATATACAGATAACAAGGTGATTTTTTTATGGATAGACCGAATTTTAACAACCAAATCTAAAAATAATTTATAAAACAGTGATTCTTAAATATTTTTGTGGAATAATACTTTTTTTTTCTCACGTCAAGCCAAATATATGTCGTGCATGGTCGTCATATTTTTTTTATTGATTAGATGGGTGGACGAGCTCACAGCTCACCTGGTGTTAAGTGGTTACTGGAGCCCATTAACATCTACAACGTAAATGCGCCACCCACCTTGAGACTTAAGTTTTAAAGTCTCAGTATAGTTACAGCGGCTGCCCTACCCTTCAAACCGAAACGTATTACTGCTTCACGGCAGAAATAGGCGGGGCGGTTGTACCTACCCGTGCGGACTCACAAGAGGTCCTACCACTAGTAAATGTAAAAGTAATATGTGGCGAATCGTTGTACATAAATTTTTTTTTATGGGATTTTATAACCTGTTAACTAAGACCTTAAGTCATGTCTTATTTTAATTTATTTTCTTATTTTTATGAAAAATTATAATATGGTGTGAAATAAAATGAAATAAAGGTAATTAATTTGAGACATTAATCAACTGGGATGAAATGAAATGAAATGAGATGATATGGGATGAAATATAATCTCAGTAAAATGGTGGTCATTTACTGAGATTTTTTCAGTGGACTTTTTGGAGGATCCCGAGAAGTTACGTCCGGCGGCTTTGTTTCATTTTCCCACATTTGTGCACACTCACAGATATTAAACAATTAATAAACCACCGTTATTACACATTTAAACCTGAAGAAACACTAAATAGACAAAATAAAATAAATCACACGACTTCACTCTTCGCGTTCCCGCCAAAAAAGTCATATTAATGTATGATTAGGCTGTAGTGGCGTGCAGTGCGCGTGATGGGGCGGGGTGTGCTCCTACCATAGACAATTTGCTGTGCGACGAGGGTAGCAGCGGCCGCTGGAACTTGCGCTGCGAGCCGACGGCCGCGGCCAGTGGCGCCGCCGAGTACGACGCGCACACGAAGTTTATCGTCTCCACCCACGAACATAACTCCTTTGAGTCACTGTAACAACATGATATATATCTATACTAATATATAAATTTACAGTGGTTTTTAAGGATGTTCCGTTATAACTACTGAACCATGCAGCCGATTGACTTGAAACTTAGTATCCATGTAGAAAATACATGTACTTAATGGATAGGCTAATATTAATATGAGTGTTGGACTCGCTACACCAGTTGCGGGGGCATTAATGATGAGAATCTTTGTGGGGGCGAGAAATAATAATGTTAATTTTAAATGCGAGCGGAGCGGACGGATACAGGTAACAATATGAATGTATTGTGCTCTTATTACAATAGCAAGCTCTCTCAAACTTCATATTCCTGTTGACAAATATTTAAGCTTCTCAGCTGTATAAGCTTATTGCAAACCAACTATATGTACATACTGAGACCTTAGAACTTATATCTGAAGGTGGGTGGCGCATTAACGTTGCAGATGTCTATGGGATGCAGTAACCACTTAGCACCAGGTGGGCTGTGAGCTCGTCCACCTAAGCAATGACGACAAAAAAAACTAGACAAGTCGATGCCCTAGTCGATTCACAATGACAATTCGACAATTTTTACATTATTAATTCTGTTTTTTTTTTGAAGTTATACTTCTTTAGGCGCGTTATGAAAAACTGATGAGAGTGAAATTTTACGATGCGCGCGCACCGTGACAGAAAATTAACAGAAATGAAGTTGCCCACTATATCGCTCATTACAATACGACCGACGTAACTTCGCGAGTCTGAACATAGCCGCAGGTGAACTTTCACGCATGTACACTCGTAAAAAAGTGTTATTAGCAATCATTTTTTAGTAATATAAATAACAAAATTATTATTTAATATAATTCATACTAAATATTATTAAATTATTAACGTTAAATATTTCTTATTAATTATTTAAAATAAAAAAGGGATAAATTTAATAAAAATAAATTATAACTTCTTACGCGCGTACATAAGTACACGCACCCTTTTTTTTCTTACCCAAGCTAATAGCCTTGAGAGGCTATTTCAGCGTAACCTTAACTAGTAGGTGAGCTCACGGGGCTCAAACCTGACGACGTTGCTAACACGAACCCTAGCAAGAGCCGTGCTTCGCAGAATCTACCACCGGATCGGAAACGCGACCCACTGAGAAGATCCGGCGAGAAACTTAGTGGGCTGTGTCTATGGGTTAATTTACTCGCCGAACCCTTCGTCGCAAGCGACGGGTTCGGCGAGAACAGTGACCGGTGCTTGAGGTACCTAAAAGCATCGTTAGTGGATCGGGAGGATCCGAAATTACGTCAGGGGCGACGTCGACTGCTTTCCTTTCTTTCCGCAGGATCGGGAATGTAATTCTGGCTAAGCACCGTCAAGTACCAGTTCAGTTAAGCACTGTAGCCTTATATCTTATCCCTCAAGATCATCAGGCTACCTACTTCTGAGTGACTCTCGATAAATTAAATCAACAAATTGTAACGTCAGCTAAGGTTGACAAAATCCTTGTAAGCATTTACAGCATTTACAGATTCGAAGCAGGCCACGCCATACGGTGACCACTAACAGTAACTAACGCCTGCACGTATGTCACGAATTTGAAATATGTACCCACATATATTATGTACATGCACTTTCAATCAGAATTACCTCATACCCGATCCTGTGGACCGAATGGTAAACAGTCGACGTCGCCCTAAACACGTCATTACGGATCCTTCCTATCCATTAACGGTGCTTTTAGGTACCCAAGCACCGGTCATCGTCCTCGTCGAACCCGTCGCTTGCGACGAAGGGCTCGACGAGTAAATTAACCCATAGACACAACTCACTGAGTTTCTCGCCGGATTTTCTCAGTGGGTCGCGTTTCCGATCCGGTGGTAGACTTTGCGAAGCACGGCTCTTGCTAGGGTCAGTGTTACCAACACTCCGGTTTGAGCCCCGTGAGCTCACCTACTAATTCGGTGAATCTAGAATAACCCCTCGAGGTTACTAGAATAGGACTAAAAAAAAAATACCTTGTTTGAAATAAAAACTCTGCTTGATCGGCCGTCTGCAATCTAAAGACGTGTTGTTTTTTAGTGTAGTCTATCGCTTTGGTAGCCAGCGCGTGATGTATCCTTGAACAATACAACAATTCTAATTAAAGACTAGAACTACTATATTTTTGTTAATGGTGAAAATGTTTTTCGAGCTTTCTACGTTATTACAAAACTCGACACATATGATTTTGTCTACGATTTATATTTAAATTTATCTATTACATCAAATTATTATTCGACTCGCATCTACATTTCGTTATTTCTTTGAATAACAGATTTTTGACAATATCATTTTTTATGAAATTTAACTACATTTCTTACAGATATCTATTTATACTAGAATAAATTTATTTCGCGCCCATGTTACTCTTACCGGATAGCGTTGTGTAAATTATCTGACATTTGACTGCGCCTGAAGCCGTGTTCGTCTTTATGTAGATACAAGACCAAATCTCTTAAAGTACAATAAAACATTTTCCAGCCTCTCCGTCCGAAAGGTGCTAAAAAAACAACAGATACATTAGTTAAGAATGTTGGTTGATTTGATTTTTATTCCTTCACCGTGGAAATCAATCGTGAACATTTGTTAAGTACGTATTTCATTAGAAAAATTTGTACCAGCCTGCAAACGATTCGAACGCCTGCACGGGATTCAAACGTCGGTGCATCGCTAGATGCGAATGCACCGGACGTCTTATCCTTTAGGCCACGACGATCATGATTTGTTAATCCTATATCAACAATTCCCTAAGGCTTGAAGCCTTAACGATACATGTGCTGTCGTCCCAAATCAGTGGGATGTTACGGTGACAAGTACTTTTTATTTTATAGTAAAGTTAGACCTATTCCGACTGAAAAGTATGAAACGTTCAAGATAAAGGCTTGTTTACTTCTTTTCCCGTTGGGATCGACGCAGCATTTCCTCATGACGTATCCCTTCTTGTACTCGACGGCGCGCGAGGGGTCGGCGACGTCGAGGAAGGGGTTGGCCCCGCCCCCCGCGGCGCGCACCTCGCCCCCCGCCCCCGCTGTCGCCACTGCGCTCTCGGTGTCGCTACAAAACATCAACATATTTGAACTAATGTCTTCTTCAGTGTGCTTAGTGCGAGTTTTTCAACGTTCTCGACAGTGTAAAAGTTAACTCAAATTTGTAGGCGTGTAAACGTTTGCCTACGTTTGCCGCTAGGGGCGCTGTTCCAACTGCATACAAATTCGAGTTAACTTTTACGCTGTCGAGAACGTTAAAAAACTCGCACTGAGCACACCCGACTATATTTTGTAAAACGTTGAGTCACGTGTGTTTTCGGTACTTTTAGGTTTTATCATTTTTGTTATTACGGTATTAAAATAAAACGTAGTTCTAAATTGAATTCAATTGAGCTTTTTCCAACTTAAGCATTTTAAAACAGATAAAACTCGTTCCAAGTAACCTTCACTATAAATTTTGTTCTAAATTTTGTATATAACAAATAAATATTTATATAGACATTTAACTAAAATTTACAATTAACGATTAAGTTGTTGCTACGAAAAAAATATATAAGAATTAAAAATGGAATTTAAAAGAAGACATAGTTGAAAATACAGTACAGTACACTACACAATATAGTACAGTACATAGTACAGCGAGGCTACGTACAGCGCCCACTGCAGCGGCTGCGAGCGGATGGCGTGGTACAGGTGCTTGAGCGTGTCGCGCGGGAAGTTGTCGCCGTCGTTGAGGTCGGCCAGGTTGTCGATGAACTCCGCGCACGACATCCGCTGCAGCGCGCCGCCGCAGCCGTGCAGGTCCGTGTTCAGCAGCATTATGGCGCACGTCAGCGTGTGCACTGCGTCTGTGGAAGTGGAGTCGGGCTTAGTAACCAATACAGTGAAGCGGCTTTAAAAGATACTAGTTGTACCCGTCCGCTTCGCTGGGCATTTAAAATTAACATTATTATTTTTCACTCCCACAAAGATGCTCATCATTAACGCCCCCGCAACTGGTGTAGGGAGTCCAACACTCATATAAATATTAGCCTATCCATTAAGCATATGTATTTTCTACATGGATACAAGTTTCAAGCCAATCGGACGCAGAGTTCAGTAGTTATAACGGAACACTGTAGATTTATCTATTAGTATAGATATTCAAGATATTTTGATTGGAATTTACTAAAAATATTATCACTGGTAAGGTAAAACCGGTTTTCATAAGGCTAAAAATACCATAAAATATTCTTTATTGTATTCGATCAAGCCTCTATATAACACATACTGAAAATTGAAAAACAATGAGTGAACGTTTTTATTTTATAATGTGATTTAAGATAAGAGAAGTATACAGCCAACCGGATACGTAATAGTAGAGTTCATCTCATGGACACTAGCATTGTCAGCACCTCACCTAAGACCTATGTACAAAATCACAACCTGTATACCCATTAATATGCATTAACAGACAGTTATGACTGTCGGTCGGTACTTGAACCATTGTACCATGGTTCACTTGCGGACTAAATAATAATAATAATAATAATGGTTTGGTTCGAAGTAAGTATCAGTTGAATGGAACATTTGAAATGTATCCAACTGATAATTATTTTTAATAAATGTATCTTTTTTATTTGATTGGTTTTGTTAATTTTAAGTATGTTTCAATGATACTATGTACACATATGGACTTGTTGTCTGAAATAAATAAATCATTCATCGTTCATTCATTCATTCATTCCATCATTCATTAAAATTATTATGAATACAAATTACCCTGGGAGTTAAAAGTTCCAGGGTTGCACTCCAGGTACCTCCTGGAGAAGTGCACGAGGACACGCTCCCGCTCCTGGGTCTCGCCGGAGAGCGCGAACCGTGCCAGGAAGGTCCGCAGTGCCGCGTCCAGCGTGGTGTTCGCGAACTCGAAGTGCTTCACGTACTCTTCCGCTACGGCGCGGGAGAACTCGTTACTGTAATGTTATGTTTCATCTCTGAGTGAAACACTTTAATTTGCAACTAAGATAGATGAGTGTTTCGATCTTGTACCTTGAAATGCGCTGTCGAGAATATGCGATTTCATTATATCTTTCAAACGCATGCATGGTATTTTTTAATTAGATTGAATAGTATATTAAGCAGCCTATCAGTAGACACGCTGTAATAAACTGATCATCCTCACATTAATGTTTTCAAATTAGACTAGTTTCATATGAAACTGAAACCACAACCTTTAATTATTAATTATGTTTATATTTAATGTTTAATGTACACTGAAAAAATCCAAAGAAAGACTTGATTCAGAAATGAATCCAAAGAAAGAATGATTCAGAAATGTATTCTCTCAGCAAAAAAATTTAGATCAAATGAATATAAACCATAGTGGGTGAATATGTGTAAAGCTAGAAATTTTTTTTTTAATAAAAAATAAAGACACATTCATTAAACCACAGCTGATTTTTGTTTTGAATACCTTACTTTTAGATAAAATTGACATCAAGTGACAAGCAAAATAATGCTGCTTTAAAAAAGTTATAAATCTATTCAGAGATCAAAATAATATAAATAAAACAAAAAGTATAATTTTTTACTATCATTCCCTATTTATAAGAAATTTAACAGCTAAACATAAAAATGAAGAAATAAGCTTAAAATTATTTAAAATAATTAAAATATACATAGACACAAACTTGTTTGAATGGTCTAAAAGCTATTCAAAAATAATTATAAATCTCTATAACAAATTTGGTGGTAAAGCTGTCTTTGTTTTTCAACTGAACAATAGGACAACTAGTGTTCTATTTCAACTAAAATGACCTTATTCGATTGCTATTTGGGTTTAGAATATCAAAGTGCGATACGTACTTTTTACTGAGGTGCCTTGATACGTCAGACTTCTTGAATCCGTCAAGATGATAGAGTCTCTTGGCAAGTCTCTCGGCAGACGGGATGTCCACAGCCTTAGGACTGTAGTGGAAGGAATGCAACGAGTCGCCGTCCGAGCCCTCGTCCGACCCTGTCTCTGACGAACCGCAGACCTCCTGGACAATACAACTACATATTACATCATCATTTTAATATTGACATACCTATTTGTTTTATGCAATTACATTTAATGGTTGCATTGTTTTAATACTAAGACAAAACGAATTTAAGTCTAATTTAAAAAATACTTCTGTATGTTTTTAATAAAAAATGTTTCAAATATCTCGAGATCATTTTAAAATTATTATTATTATTATTTTTATTGCCTTTGTAGGCAGACGAACGAGCACACGGCCCACCTGATGGTGAGTGGTTACCGTCGCCCATGGACTTCAGCAATGCCAGGGGCAGAGCCAAGCCGCTGCCTACCGAATTAGTGGGAGATACAAAATTATGTGTCTTTTTCAACCTATCCGTCGATTGAACTGTTCGGATTGACACTGTTTTTAAGTACACATGTATGTATGTAGCAAAGTATTGTTGACCGTTCTCACCTCGTAACCCTGATTCTCTGGCGACGTGTAACCGTTCTCATTACCGTTCTGACTATAATTACTGTTATTGTTATTGATATTTACATTCTCGTTCGAATTCTGGTTCTGTTTGTCCGGTCCCTTTACTTGTATGACTATTCTGTGGTCGTTGTTGTCTCCGTTGAGCGTGACGTCACTGCCGTGCTCGTTCGAATAGCTCGAGTTGGACTTGGCTCGCTTGTGGCACGGCTCGGAGACGAGGATCGTGGAGTCCGAGTCCGAGGGGTCGGAGAGCTCCATGCGGGGACACTCCCGGCCCGTCTCGAACATGTCGTCCTGGTCTTGGTAGTCCGGACTCGATATGTTTGAGACGGCTTCGGAGAGACTCATGTCGCCTGTAATATATTCAAAAACTTCAGCATTGAACGATTAACATGCAGATGACGTGCGTTGACATTGGGACGTGGAAACAGGCTCATCTTTCAAATTTTCTATAGTAATCATTTTTTATTTGTTGCTTAGGTGGGTGGACGAACTCACGGCCCGCCTGGTATTAAGTGGTTACCGGAGCCCATAGACATCTATAAAGCAATTGCCGCCACCTACCTTGAGACATGAGTTCTAACGTCTCAGTATAGTTACAACGGCTGCCCCACCCATTAAACCGAAACGCATTACTGCTTTACGGCAGAAATAGGCCGGGCGGTGGTACCTACCCGTGCGGACTCACAGGACGTCCTAGCACCAGTAATTACGCAAATGATAATTTTGCGGGTTTGATTTTTATTACTAGTTTACATCTGAAGCTTAAACATTTGATTGACAAAATAATTCATACGACATCCACTCTTCATGTTCCCGCCAATATCTTAAGTGTGAATTGAACGAGTAAAGGAGTGTACAGTAGATCAAAGGATGGTGATACAAGTGTATCACATACCGTTCAAGTTAAGTTACCGTTAAGTTTGTGATGTGGCAGTAAGGCGTGCGCGGCGGCGCGGTGCGGGGACAGCGCCGACGACGACGACGGAGACGCCGGGGACGACGACCTGACAACAACACGTCTCTACAACACATCTAATATATAAAAATAAAAACAGTACAGGTGCTTTCAGACTACGCTTTTTTTTCTTCTTTTTTTATTGCCCGCCCATCTAATGGTGAGTGGTTAGCGTCGTCCGTGGACTTCAGCAATGCGAGGAGCAGAGCCAAGCCGCTGACTACCGCTTAATACTATCCACAAGCCTCGTTTGAAGAAGGACATGTCATAGCGCTCGGGAAACACTGAGGAGGGGAGCTCATTCCATAGCCGGATGGTACGTGGCAAAAAAGTCCTCTGGAAACGCACTGTGGCCCCAGATAGGTAAAAACGAGATGACGGTACTATCTCGAATAATTCCTCAGAGCACTCCCCATGGAACATACAGTACAAAATACAGAGGGAACCGAAGTCCCGAAGAAAAATATTAATATGCTATACTATAATGTCATATAGTATAGCAGCGTATACTTAGCCAATAATATATTATTATAGTACAGTACAGTGTGAACGTGTCCATAACAATGTATGGTGCGCGATATTGTTGTGCTATGAGCTATATACTATATGTTATTATATTACAGCGTAGTCTGAAAGAAGCTTATTATGTTCGTTCGATTGATTTAAGCCTTGGCTTCGTTCCAATAGATAAACTGAATATTGAAGCGCTCAATTTCAGTATTGACGGCAAAACGTTTGGAATGTAGCTTAGGGCTATTTGACGATTTTTTGCGTGTGTAACAACGTGGTCGAAAACTTTCAATTATATTAAACGAAGTCAATTATGTTTAATTCTTAGATAGAGGACCGGTAATACTTCTTGAGAGATAATGCAAATATTATTAATTAATTTAGTAGCTATGTTTTTTTTTTCGGGCACCTTAGTTGCGGTGTTATGGAAAAGTTTTCCACGGTTCGGATCGGAACGGAACACGGATGTTATGTATATGAATGAGCTGAAATGATTGCTCTGTCAGATTAAAATATTAACAGAATATTTTAACTAAAATCGTCGAGATATAGATGGCGAAATCACACTAGTAACTGCAGATATATTTACAAAATGAATTATATCAACATTTATACTATATTTTTTTTTTAAATTAACTTATTCTCACTTATTAATTTTTTTAAGTTTTTTTTTAATTATTGATTTCGATAAATGTGTTAATGAAATCAGGAAAGAATTATCGTTGAATATTTCATGCAATTTTCAGTTTTACGGGTAGGATCGCTCGGCCGGGGAAAAAATATTTCCGAATCGATCAATTCCACCTTTTTTTTGGTAGCTTTCAGAAAATTGGCAACACTTTTAGGTTAGACAGAAACAAATGTTGTTAGTTACCTCTGTGAAATAGTGTCGGAGATGGAGGTGGAGTTAGAAGGAGTCTGTTGTGAACGTTCCATCGCGCTCGAGACAGGCGCGTTGTAAGTCCATACGATTCTGTGCACAAGCATTTAGTTTTATACCATTGGTTCCACCATCTTAGCATTGGTTCAATTCAAATTGTTAAGGATAGGTATGGTTAATGTGTTTTTTTAGCGGTTAATTCGGCTCCCAAAACCCATAGACATCTAGACGCATGCCATTGCCTACTTTAAGATAAGACCCTCAATACTGGCGGGGTTCGAACCGGAGCACGTGGTTGCTTCAGGGCAGATCCGTGCAAGCTTTCAACGTATCTTAACCAGCACCATTTTATAGAAGAATTAGAGTGAGATAGAAAACTGTTAACATGATCGTTACTATGGACAGAAGACAGGGAGGGGACATGAGATGGACGGGGGTACATACTCAGATAAATTGATACTTTAGTAGTGTTGTTATTGTGTACAGCGCGCTGCATGACGCCGTGGACAGGGGAAAGTGGAAAAAGATCTTAAGATTGAAGCTCATGGGTGATGGTGGTCACGACCCTCAGACATGAGGAACACGACTCGAGGAGGAGGAGGAGTCTTGCTATATGAATATACATCTATCTAATAATATCGATACACAGATAGTGCGGTAAATACTATTGGTTACCTAATAATCAAAATTCGACCGTCATCTGACTGATATCTCGATATTTAAAATACATTTTATGTATTATATTATCTTTCTTGTTGTGTTAAAGAAAAAAAAAAGAACTGAAACTTTGACAAATAAAGAAGAAAACCGTTTGGCAAGCACTGGAAAAAATTGTTCTTAATGAGTGCGGTCTAGACTACCGCTAACCGCTTTATTAGATCTGACCATTTGGCTGGTGTTCTGCCCACGGCGCGCTTTTAACCTTATAGCTTAGTTGGCTGGACGATCTGACGGCCCACCTGGTGGTAAGTGGTTATTGGAGCCCATAGACATCTATAACGTAAATGCCGCCACCCAACTTGAGATGTGAGTTGTATGGTCTCGTAATAGTTACAACAGCTGCCCCACCCTTCAAACCAAAACGCATTATTGCTTCACGACAAAAATAGACAGAGCCGTGATACCTACCCGCGCGGACTCACAACACGTCCTACCACCAGTAATTACCCAAATTATAAATTTGCGGGTTTGATTTTTATTACACAAGGTTATTCCTTCACCGTGGAAGTCAATCGTGAGCAATTGTTAAGTACGTATTTCATTCCGAAAATTGGTACCCGCCTGCGGGATTCGAACACCGGTGCATCGCTCGACACGAATGCACCGGGCGTCTTAACTTTTAGGCCACGAAGACTTCGACAGCACTTGCGTTCTATGCGACCCAAGATTATCAGTTCCTCTAATACATGTCCGGGAGACCGCGTGTTGTGTCCGAAGTAGCTCATAACACGTTCTTGGCCGATGGCCGAGAGTCTCATTACAATGGCGGAATGTATCAGACCTGTCTCTTTCCGCGTCGGAGTCGGAGCGCGGCTGGGGCGTGGCCGAGTCTGGTCTGGCATCGAGCAGCGTGTTGAGCGATGACGTCACGTCCTCCTCTAGCTCCACGCCCACAGCGCTCAGCGACCATTCCTTCTGCAAAACACGACCTTGTTTAACTTAGAATAAAAATTAGACAAACATATAATGTATTAATACATAGTTATCGATGTAGCAAGACCATTGAGTTTCTCGCCGGGTTTTCTCAGTGGGTCGCGTTTCCGATCCGGTAGTTTCTGCGAAGCACTGCTCTTGTTAGGGCCAGTGTTAGTAGCACTCCAGTTAGAGCCCTGTGAGCTCACCTACACGTCAAGGAGAAGTTGAAATAGCCTCTTAAGGCTATTAGCATAGGTAAAAAAAAAACATATCTCTGGCGGCATTTACGTTGTAGATGTTTATGGGCTTCGGTAATCACTTAACACCTGTGACCTCGTCCATCCATAGATGCAATAAATAAAAAATAAAAGTAAATGTAGCTCACTACCGTCACACTGTGATAAGGAAAACTTTACTGAGCATTCTAATTTTAGGTAAAAAATGTATATACAAATTTAAACACACATTTCTAATATAACACATTTTTAATAAACACATTTCCTTCACGTTTCTCTTGCAACAAACAACTTTAGTGATTCTTAAAAAATGTAATCTTATCGATTTTTTTATTTTTTCAAGTGACTTTACTTTCAAATATATTTTTGTTTTTTTTTTTAGCTTCACTGTCTCACTTTATCTATTGTTTATCTGTACAATGATTTTATCTAGTTATGACAAAGAACAACAGCAAACGACACAGAGCTGTGATAACAGAATAGGCGATATTGATCAATAGTCATAATTTCATTTGGACATAGATCACGGTTACTAGGTCGATCTAGTCCTCTAAGAGACATGTAAAAAGTAAAGAGGCCTTTCAAAAATTACCCCAACAAAAATTATTATTCAAATAAGACGTTAATTTTTGTTTTGCAATTTGTATCAATCGCCCAAGACTTTGCTAGAGCACCATGTCTACGGTTTCCGTGGCCGATACGTTTCCGGGGTAATAGAACTTTAAGATTAATGAAAATATTTCTGGATACGCGCCATCTCAGTAGCTCAGCCATCTCACTCTACATGAATTTTTAATTGCTTTGCTAAGGTACTCAAGACTTTCGTTTCTTATTGTCTTTCTAGGCAGACGAGTATACGTTCCACACGTTAATAAGTAGTCAGCGTCGCTAGTGGACATCAAGCAGCAATTCAAGAAGCACAGACAAGCCGCTCCGCTAACCTCATTCGAAAATGTCATAGTGACTTGAGATTTGATTTTTTTTTTTATTCAAACACCAGTCAACAGACTATTGATCGGTTATTCGTTTCAATGAACTTTCGTGAAAGTAGCTTCTTTTTTTTGGGGAACTAGAATCATCACTACAAAACAACATTTTAATGACATAAGAAGTCGTCGTGGCCTAACGGATAAGACGTCCGGTGCATTCGTATCTAGCGATGCACCGGTGTTCGAATCCCGCCAGCGGGTACCAATTTTTCTAATGAAATACGTACTCAACAAATGTTCACGATTGACTTCCACGGTGAAGGAATAACATCGTGTAATAAAAATGAAACCCGCAAAATTATAATTTGCGTAATTACTGGTGGTAGGACCAGTTGTGAGTCCGCACGGGCAGGTACCACCACCCTGCCTATTTCTGCCGTGAAGCAGTAATGCGTTTCGGTTTGAAGGGTGGGGCAGCCGTTGTAACTATAATTGAGACCTTAGAACTTGTATCTCATCTCAAGGTGGGTGGCGCATTTACGTTGTGGATGTCTATGGGCTCCAGTAACCACTTAACACCAGGTGGGCTGTGAGCTCGTCCACCCATTTAAGCAATAAAAAAAAAAAAAAAATTTAATAGTAAGATACGTTCGTCGTGGTTAGAAACGACTAGTGCAGTTCTTTTAAGAAAAGTCTGTGTGAATAAACAATGCATCGATATGCATCGCCAATATCTTCTCAATCTGCTTAACGTCTGATCTACGACCACTTCTCGTGTATCGGTGAGTACCTGCAGGTGATCTTCAGATCTGGATGTTCTGACGGCGGGGTGGTGGCGCGCCGAGTGCTCGCCCCCGCCCGCGCCCGCCGGCGACGCCGGCTGCGATATGAACCTGCAAAACGTAACCATGTATCAGTGTATTTTGTATGGAGTTGCAACGTTTGCCTACGTTTGCCGCTAGGGGGCTGTTCTAACTGCATACATATTTATTGAGTTAACTTTTACGCTATCGAGAACGTTAAAAAACTCGTACTAAGCACACTGATCTCATGTCTCAAAGTACGTGGCGGCATTCACGTTGTTCAAGTTTATCGATTCCGGTAGCCACTTAAGAACAAACCCAACTAAGCAAAACAATACGTTGGGTTATTGGGAAAAGTTGGATACTCACATTTTAGTCGCATGTTCGTTGGCAGTGAGACCGGTATCGGGCGAGGAGTTGTGTCTTTGCGGCATTTCCACGCGGCCACACAGTCTATTCTCACTGGGCGACGCTGGCGTTGAGTTATATCTATAACATACATAACAATATGCTTTATTCGCTTTGGAAAGAAAGTTTGATGATACTGGGTTCGTACAAAATTTGATTTGAACGGGTGGGTGGCTTGGTTGAAAAAGGCGTTGTTGAGTAAAGCCGTTAGATATTTAAATTTACCTTAAGAAAGGAGAATTATCAGAAAAGAACAAGTACAAATCGACCCCAAATATCTTTAACATTACAAATGAGTCGACTATTATCAAAGGCGGCAATCTGACTTTTGGACAATGATTGGTAAATCAGAAAAACGAATTATTGATTTTGTATTCCATCGGCAGTTACAAAACTCTTCGGAACGACATCTTAGATAAATAACAGGTTAACTATTAACCTTTATTTAATGCAGGTTTTGAACCGTATTCTTTGAAGGAGACGATTATATTCAAATCAATCTGTATTGACATATCAATAAAATTTTTTTGTCCAAATGCACAGATTGCCACCTTTGATAATAGACGACTCCAATCACTGACCACTATTACTACTAATAGAGCAAGAGCCCGCGACGGCCAGACCTTCGTTATTTTATAAAAGCTGAAAGTTTATCTGTGTATGTCTCCAACACAGGTACAACATCGACTAGGTATAATACGACTAATTACATATATAAAAGTCGAAATCACAGTTATACGATCGATATAATTCAGATTTTGTGCGTATAATGTTAACTCCGACAAATCGACGAATTTATATAGAAATAAAATGATATACAATTGATTTTGTACATTTAAATGCTACACAGTGATAGTAACCCAGTAAATAATACGTTTATCAATCCCAACCACTAACTTACACACCGAAGCGGATACATGATTTAATTTCATGACATTTACTAAATCGTTGCCAGCTGTTAGTCTAAATACGTTAAAATGCAAAATACATTAACTCCAAAAACCTTTTGTTCAAAAATAAACTATTAAAAGTTATTAGTTTGGTTTCGTGATCACAAAAACCTATCGCACATTTCATAACAGCTTTTTTGTGTGCGAGTGTGTGTGTGTGTGCGCGCATCAAAGACTGTGTTTGATGTAAGAACAAAATAAATAAAGTCAATTATAAAATTTACATAGACTCACGAATTATTTCGTTACATTAACTAATCGTTTTTATCGCACTGTCGCAATGTTTGTATGTAATTTCTTAATAAATAAGAATGATAATGAAAGTGAAATATTTGTGTCGCAGTAAAGATATTATAATATGGTGACACGCGTCGTTCTGGAGCCAAATAGTCGGATGACAAAGGATCCTGTACTTATAATGGTCTGTTATATAGTCTCGTTATATCCATCACAAGCCGAGCACGTATCACTACTGTTGTTATAATATAATGGATTCAGCCATACATGTAGAAGTAGACCCCAGTATTCGACCTTATTTCCTTAGCGGCAGGGCTTTATACAGATTGACAGATATGACAGATTACAAAACCTATATAATCAAACCCGCAAAATTATAATTTGCGTAATTACTGGTGGTAGGACCTCTTGTGAGCCCCCGCAGGTACCAACACCCTGCCTATTTCTGCCGTAAAGCAGTAATGCGTTTCGGTTTGAAGGGTGGGGCAGCCGTTGTAACTATACTTGAGACCTTAGAACTTATATCTCAAGGTGGGTGGCGGATTTACGTTGTAGATGTCTATGGGCTCCAGTAACCACTTAACACCAGGTGGGCTGTAAGCTCGTTTATCCATCTATGCAATAAAAAATAAATAACAACCTATCACCCTTACTGTTTTGGTGTTTTGAAGTGTAGAATAGATTTTTTTTTCCTTGCACCCGAATGATAGCGTCTTGTTCTAAGATTGGTATAGAAAAATTGTGATGCCTATAAGTTTCGGTAGGAACTAGATTGAGTTGATATTAGAATTTAAAAAAAAAATACAAGTAGTGATAACCGTATGATGGTTACCTGTGGTAATGTGTGCGGTGTGTGGGAGCATGGTGGTTATGGTGGGGGTGCTCGACCCTCGACAGGTTGAGTATGAGGTCGCCCGTCATCATGTAGGCTTCGAACTTGGGCTGGGCCGACTTTGGTCTCCGCACCCGTTCTTCTGTGAGTAAAGCTTCGCAGCTCTCGCCAGACTGCACCGCGGAACCGTTACTGGACGATGTACTCGAGGAATTGCCGTTCGAGTTACTCGACGACGAACTTAATCTAAAAAAAAGTGTGGCAGCAGACTGTTAATCATAGTATTCTGTTCCTACAGACACAACCCACTGAGTTTCTCGCTGGATCTTCTCAGTGGGTCGCGTTTCCGATCCGGTGGTAGATTCTGCGAAGCACGGCTCTTGCTAGGGTTAGTGTTAGCAACAACTTCAGGTTTGAGCCCCGCGAGCTCACCTACTAGTTTGGTGAATCTAGAATAGCCCCCCGAGGTTACTAGAATAGGTAGGAAAAAAAAAATAGTATTCTTTGTCGAATACTTTTAAGAACCTAGGTTATTTGATTTAATGGAAATTATCACATGTAAAGTTTTTTTTTGGGAGAAAAGGATACGGACCACCTTACAGTGAGTGGTTACCATCGCTCATGGAAGTCAGGAATGCCAGGGCAGAGCCAAGCCGCTGCCTACCGCTTGATTGTTTAAAGAAATTTACATCAGATCGTACATTATTGTTTTACGATCATATATTAAAATAAGCAATAACAGCGTATGACGTCACAAAACTGTAAACTAAACAGCAGAAACTATAGGATTATTCCATATTGACATTTGAAATACAGGGCTCGATTCGAAAACAGTTTTTCGCGGAATTGTTCGAGCGGCGATCGAAAGTAGACGACAAATTTAATAATTTATTTTTTGACTTTGATGAGTTTGTACTTTTTAAACAAAGTCCCTTTGTCCGATAATCGAAATTCGACAACAAACACTGACATAAAAATATTTCGCTTCATAGATAGATATTTTACTAGTCGCTTTAACTATTCTAGACTTAATAGTTTAGGACAGGGGTTCCCAAACTTATTTTGTCTTCTGCCCACTTTGAGAAAAAAATGTTTTTAGCGTTCCTATTTTTTCACCTACTTACAAACCACTATAGCGAGAGCTCAGTCTCGCTATTATATCGCCTCCAAGGCTTATATATACAACGCCCCTATCCTTTTTTTCTGGGTCTCTTATCGCCCCCCCCCCCCCCAATTTAGACCTGCAGCGCCCACTTTGGGAAAGGCTGCTTTAGGTGAAACTGATTCTTACGTTGGTACATTACACAAACAGCGAATACAAATGCAATAAAACTAAACGTCAATATTTGGAACCTGCTACTTTAAATTAATCTGTATTAACAGGGAAAGAAACTGGGGGTAAGACTTCCTGTAAACCTACACGGGTAAGAACCCCCGCGTCCCCTGTTTCTGCCGCGCTGCAGTTTCCCTTTGAGGGCTAGGACAGACGTTATGCAATACAATTCAGACTTAGACCTCACCTCATGCCTTGAGGTGGGTTGCAATGTTTACGTTCATATGGGATCCGGGAACCACTAACAACAGGTGACTGTTTTTTTTAGCTATTTACGCAAAAAAACAAAAACTCGCCATTAAAGCATATAGACAAATAAATAAGTCATGATAGGTACACTCGTATTTTTTTACTAACAATTGTGTAAATGTAAATTATAATATCATTTTATTAATGACTTTAGGATAACGCACGTTTTTCAATTATTGTGTGGAACGAAGACATATCTTACATATCAAAACGAAATTAGGTGCTGCAATTAAACTATGTATATTGTATTATAGACTCGTTTGAAATTAGTTGGTAGTTATTTAATTTGTTCCATTAATAATGTCTTTCCATAAAGCACGTTAAGTTTATAATGTAATCACATTAAAAGTAATCACACGGTAACTATACTTGAGATCTTAGAACTTATATCTCAAGGTGGGTGGCGCATCTACGTTGTGAATGTCTAGTATGTCTAGTATGTGTGAGTGTCTAGCTCCAGTAACCACTTAACACCAGGTGGGCTGTGAGCTCGTCCACCCACCTAGCAATAAAAAATAAAAAAAACACGGACTTGTTAACTCTTCTGAACTGCGACATTTGAGTTCATTTTACTATTCTTAGCGTAGTAGGTTACGTTGATAATTTCAATTCTCTAAATTTTCCGGTACACATTTTTTTCATGGCCATTAATAAGTACATATTACTATACTATTATACTATTACTATACTATTGTATTATTATTATACTAAGAAATTCGAAAAGATCGCACATTGATAGCGGACAAATTCTAAACAGTGTTATCTTTTAAGCTCAAGCCGATTTCGAATCAGCATTATCGATTTTTGATAAAATTTACAGCTAACATTAGTTTCCAATAAGACTTATGACGTCATTCATTAGTGTGCACGGATAAAGTCAAAATACAAACAGGGGCGGGACACCCTCGTATTGTCGGCATATGTTTTCTGATCCCTTATCGCTGGCGGAAATCAGCTGTCAAGACACGGCAGGGGTTCCATATTGATTTTCAAAAGTGTATCCTTAAAATACGGCAGTTCTTTATTCCTTATTACAGTAGAAAAGTATGTTCTTTGTCGTTCCTTAATTTTTATTTTAGTCGCCTTCAAAGTACATAGTTTTGTTATTATATTTTTAGATGGAAGGATCGATGGGGTTTGCTATGAAAACTCTGAGCACATCTGGAGGGCTAACAGCTTAAGGGCAGCTGCTTCGATAGTCAATCTACACCACCTGATCAAAATTGCGATCCGTCAAAAAAATCTAACGAGAAACTCAGCACTCTGATGCTAAAGACCAAGTGTCACGTGGGATTCTTGCGCGAATTCGGTGCCTACAGTGTCTACAGCTTTAGTTACTGTTACTAGTGTTAGAACTAGTAGCTTACAACAGCACTGAGACGTCATTTCGGATCCTCCCTTTCCACTAACGGTGCTTTTAGGTACCCCAAGCACCAGTCACCGTTCTCGTCGAACCCGTCGCTTGCGACGAAGGACTCGACGAGTAAATTAACCCACAGACACAGCCCACTGAGTTTCTCGCCGGATCTTCTCAGAGGGTCGCGTTTCCGATCCGGCGCTAGATTCTGCGAAGCACGGCTCTTGCTAGGGTTCGTGTTAGCAACATCGTCAGGTTTGAACCCCGTGAGCTCACCTACTAGTTAAGTTTACGCTGATATGGTCTAGAGAGACCATCAGCTTAGGTAGGAAAAAAAAAGCACTGAGATGGGTATTCGCGAAGACGTAACTAGTGCGTCGACAGTGGCTGGCTGTAGCGTGAGCTGGGTTGAGAATGCTTTAAAACGCTTAATAATACATCTCAATAAATTTATGTAAAACAAATGATAATACGAACAAACTCACTTATCGTGGTTAGAGCGGACACCGGCGCCTCCGCCGCTAGACCGCCGATCGGTAGCCGCTGACAAGTACCGTCTCACGCTCGCTTTGATCTGCGGGTCTGAAACGTTATCATTACGTTATCCTCCACGATAATTTCCAGAATTACGTGCAATGAAGTGAACGCGATATTGAATTATTGAAAGGTAACAAAGCCACTGTGTACGAAAGGTTACCCCGGTCCATGTACCGAAAGCAACCTATAAATTACATCGCGTATAGCAACCTCCTATTTGTGACGGCTTATTTCGCAAAGTCGACCAAACCACAACGGGGGGATAAACGAATTTTATTACTTGCAGCTGTCGATGGCCACACGTGCCCTCTAATGCCGCATTTCGAACTTAGACATTGTAAATCATGCATCAGGATAATTTCTTGTCTAAAATAAGACACTCACCCTTTCTCAGTCTTAACGTCACGGGATCCGACGACAGTCGCAAGCATTTTAAAACTGTAACAATTTAAAATATTTCTTCTTTGAGCCGTTTTGCATTATCTCATTTTTCCGATAAACATTGGAACAAAGCACCGCGATTAGAACAAACAATACGCGTGCCAATAACAATAGCGAGTTATTTGTAGATTTATGTTGAGATATTATTTTGATTAGCCGCCGCGCAGTCGGTAGAAATCAATTTGGCCAACATTTGTTAAAGCGGACTGCTCCATTGCAAGGTACCGGATCGGTCGTACAAATTATGTGTAGAACGTGGATTGCGAAGTTGCGTGCCGACAACGGCGCGACTGAAACGCGAACTTTGGATTACATCTAATAAGATAGCGAAAGACTTTTTCGATATCACGATACGAGAAATAATTAAAACATTCATTGGATATTATTAAACGTCAAGTTGCTCGAGTTATCGACTTTTTGTTTTAAGCACGGCTCGTAACTGTACCACAGTGGCTTATTTAAGTTGGGACGTAATATTTATCATATTCAATTAGTCTGGGCCCAGTTATCTTCGTGTTAGGAATGTAGTATAGATAAATAACAGGCGCGCCGTGAGATAAATGGCAAATTTCTTACCTTCTCTGGTAGTGAACCGGTTTACATCAGTCCCATTAACCTTGAGCAAAACGTCTCCCGCCTCGACCTGTAATGCGAATATTCAGTTATTTCGAATTAAGAGAGAGAGAGAGAGAGAGAGAGAGAGACATTATACATTTGATCAACTTTATTTGGGAAACGACAACATGCGAAATAATCTGTGTCGTTTAGATGCCTATTCTAGAAGATACTTTTTTTTTACTACTTAGATGGGTGGACGAGCTCACAGCCCACTTGCTGTTAAGTGGTTACCTGAGCCCATAGACATTTAATAAATGTTATTAATCTTCATTTTTTTATATAGTTAAATGAATGAAAAATTACAATAAAAATATAAGGCACATTTTGAATCCAATCACTTATTTATTTGTGGAATTTTAAAAGGAAAAACAAGTTCAATATATTTCTGTCAACAAGTTTTAGTTCAGATAAGACTAAATATAAATATATTCAGTGCAGAGGGTAAACAAACAACTTGGCATCAATGAGCGAATGCATTTAGATGTTCATTTTGATAATGCGTGCCCGTTTCAAGATAAATACGATGTGTAGGAAAACAATCCTTGTCTGTACTTGTGGATTGAATAGATTAAATCCTTCTTTCTACCAAATACGTACCCGTAAAATTATTGTTTAACTACACTTTTACAGTTTCAATTCGATTTACGATAACATAAGGAAAAAACGCGACACTTTTACTACAAAACAATGTACGTAGTACCAGCTCAAGTTCACGAGCGATTAACAAACAGTATCACAACATCCTTGCAACGTTGACAATGATTCACTGAGGCGTATCTCATTAATCATGACCGGTTCGAACAAAAACACAGGTTTGGAACTTGATATTAACAACTGATCACACGACACGTCCACTCCCTTGTGGGAACTCACTGAGGCATAGTTCGTTACATCGTTGCCGAGAGGATAGCTTTATCTAATGGGAGTTCGGCTCGACTAGCGTGTCGGAACGTCCGCCCAGTTTGCCGCTCCGCTGTGAATTCGACGTTATCACTACAGGACCTCTTATTACCTCTTAATGGATTGAGTGTGCCGATAAATTTGATCAAACTCCCGCATTAGGGCGCAAGGGATATATAAATTAGATACATTTAGCTAAAACGTTAACTTAATCATGAATGATTAGTGGAATCGACCATTACGGTTCATTTAACACTAATCATACCAAAGCTTACTGGTACCTATTTCTATACGACAAGTATTACTCAAAATAAACAACAAAAAGAAAGGATAATAACTGTAAATTAATTGGTAAGAAAAGGTCATTTAGTCAAATGTGCAACAGCAATAAGATGATACGTGCATTTTCAATGTAAAAGTTCAAAATGGGTCATTTGACCTATTATGGTATGTTTAGTGTTAAACTTCATATAACCGTTTGTCAATTTCGATTTCTATAATATTTAATTTTAACGTTCGATTTCGTGCGAACTGGTTTTAAACTAATAAAACGTCAGTCGAAATAGGGAAACGAAGCGCACCGTACTGATTCACAACGAAGGTTACATACAGTAAAACATTAGCTGATGATTGAAACACAATCCACTGGAGTATGACCGAGCGTAGTTACGTAAACATTGGTATGTGTGTTTAATACATCAAGAATACTACAAAAGCTAGGGTTAAAATAAACTAGACGCTATCGTATATCACTAATGAATAAACTACAATAATCGATTTCATCTATAACTTTATAGTTTTGCGAATTTATCGCATTGGATTGCTTCCGGAACATTCTTAATGGATTTTCAGTAAAATCATATGACATAGATGTGTATACATTAATATGATGTTTTCCATATACATACAGATTGCATTTTTACGTATTAAAACAAAGACCACTTTACACAGTAGGGCTTAAATAATGAAATCATCAAAATGTCGAACACGCGTGACCTAAGTCAGGTTCTGCAAAACTTACATGTTCGTAATATCAACTGACGGCCTTAGCAGTTAACCTCGAATTGAATTCATTACTAACACAGAAATTGGTATATGCTGTTGATCCGTAATAATGTTTTTAAGAAAAATAATAATTTTAAACGTCACAGAGGTGTTTTGAGTCACATGCACAATAAATAAACCGAAAAATCACTTCATTTCATCAAACTCATTGAACAGATGAAGGTCGTCTTAGTTGTACGATAAAACTGAAACTTTGAACTCATGTTTCAAGATGAGTAGTGGCATTTCCGTTCTTGATGTCTATGGGCTCTTCTTTAATACAAAGTGGGCCGTGAGCTAGTCCACCAAAAACAAAAAAATGACAACTTGTGGACAATTCGAATATGTACTTTAGTTTTTCGTGACTACATAAATTGTGATAAAATGAATGAAATAGGCAAGAGATTGATACATGAATCCCTATTTTAATTACATATTATTTAATTTATTCATCATCGGCCCAATCCTTCCAATTCACATCATCAACCTATACATATTTTGTTAATATTGTTATAATTGGTATTTTTGTAAGTAGATATTTCCTACATAATAATATGGTATGATAGTTTCCACGTTACAATTTAAATACAAAGACGTCGTCAATAAAGTTTCAACTTGATTTAAGCCTTCTTACATTGGCTGACCGTTCTTATCTTTGTGACCGGTCGGAAAAATATGGAAACGATTTATTTAATGTTGTCATTCACACGTATGATGCATAATATTATGATTTCTAAACTGTTCTGTTAAATTGACGCAATTGAGACGAAGCGATAATTTATAAATTAATTAACATTAATTGGGCCTTGTTGTGTCAATGTTGACCACCTTGGCTCGTTATACGGCTACTTATAGAGAACTTTGATCGGTGATTTACGAATTATTCTACTCATGAAATGCTTGACGGTCTCGGTAGAAATTCATTTATCGAAACCATTAGCGGTAAATGACAAATATTTTTACCGAGAACGGTTTGGTATTTACCGTATTTATTCAATGTGTTGTTCCTATTTGTCGCATTCGGGAATATTATTAAAATTTTGGAGCTCGATCGAAAAGCGAACCTTTCTATTATTCTACACAATGGACCACGACCCGCTTTGTATCTGTTTTGAACTAGAAAACACACTGCACTTTGAAAGGAAATTAACTGAAGCTTAAATGAATTGCCTCGAGTAGTTCAGAGCGCGAAATGTTTTCCAATAGTTGGTCGTGCAGTGGTGAGAGGAAGCTATGATACATTTAGTCACTTCCTTTGCTCCATTTTTATCGAAACAGTCAGATACAGAAACATATATTTGTCATTTATATATTTTTTCCTGAATAAAAGAATCGGAACGAATAAGAACCCTCCTCTTAATGCTATGTTGTTGCTGAAGTACATGGAGATCACAATGTGAATACTGTCACCCATCTCAAATATTTATTCGTCCATCAACCTTTTTTCTTTTTTCCTACCTATGCTGATAGCCTTGAGAGGTTATATCAGCGTTAGCCCAGCGTGTAGGTGAGCTCAAGCCAGAGATGTTGCTAACACTGGCCCTAGCAAGAGCAGTGCTTCGCAGAATCTACCACCGGATCGGAATCGCGAACCACTGAGAAGATCCGGCGAGAAACTCAGTGGGCTACCCATCAAACCAGGACGCATGGCTGCTTCGCGTTAGAAGTAGGATAGTAGTACCGACTCGCGCGAGAAAAGGTATACAGTGCAATTGTATTTTGTATTTAAATTGTTATTTCTTGTAGGCAGCGGCTTGGCTCTGCCCCTGGCACTGCCGACGTCTATGGGCGACGGTAACCCCTCACCATCAGGTGGGCCGTATGCTCGTCTGCCTACAAGGGCAATAAAAAAAAACTCAATTACCGTTGGATTAATTATTGAGGTATTCGAAAGTAAAAGAACGAGGATCTCGGTGTGAGTTAGCGAAGACATTTAGATCTGCAAATGGTTTGCTTGGATTGACGGAGCGTGAACGTTGGCTTTCCTGAGGTTTCCATTTTCTCCATTAGGCATATCAATGACATGTCAATAACCACCACAGTTTTTGTAAGTGGATTTGATTTTATAATTCAAGAAAAACGATCGTAATTTGTACATGAGGTGGTGAGTTCTTAAGTCTAAGTCTCTGAATGGCGTAAATTAAAATATTTCTTGGGACAGAAGTTGAATAGACGGAAAATTGCCACATGTGATTGCGCTATGAAGTTTTACGCTGAACCCACTAATCAAACCTCCGCCACTCGTTGCTAAATCGTCCAACTTCCGCCGAATTCGGTATAAGCGAGTGGAGGTGGAGTGGTTATGTGCCATACAAACCTCCGAGAGTATCAGAATTCTTGCGATCGATATTTCGAGCTTTATTTGGTTTTTACTGGTGGTAAGACCTCTTGTGAGTCCGCACGGGTAAGTACCACCACCCTGCCTATTTCTGCCGTGCAGCAGTAATCCGTTTCGGTTTGAAGAGTGGAGCAGCCGTTGTAACTATACTGAGACCTTAGAACTTATATCTCAAGATGGGTGGCGCATTTACGTTGTAGATGTTTATGGGCTCCAATAACCACTTAACTCCAGGTGGGCTGTGAGGTCGTCCACCCATATAAGCTATAAAAAATAAAAACCTAACTGTAGTCTAAAGTTTTAGTTCATTTATGTTGATCCCATTGATTATTCATTTTCTATCAATGCATTATCCGCCGCGAAATAATTTTTAGTGGTAGGTAGAGGATAGTTTGCACGGAGAGCAATGATATTTTATTTTAAACATATTTGGTTTGTGAATGTTGATGTTCCCTATGATCGTACAATTAATGATAGTTTAGAACTGGATAACAGAATGTCAGTACTATCAAATTTAGAATTTTTGAATTCCTCCAACAATTCGACGTCAACCAAAAACATCTCTGTTCCGAGAAGTAGCCCGAAGAATACGGATCAATGTAATTAAATCCAAAAGTCGCAAAACCTTCAAATCTAATTAATATATATCCCCTAAATATACAGCGAACACAAATTTGTTTTAGAACATTCAGTATTTCACTTCTGACTGGCTATTAATTAAATTTACACAGAGCTCAGTGAAT